GACTGTGGGCCTGGGCACACGGGACGCCGGCGTTTCGACCTTGCCCTGCAGAGGGCATGAGCTGTGTCCGGGCCAGTGACTGTGGGTTGGGAAACCTGGGGCGGGTGGTGCCGAGCCCTGGAGAACAGCTGTAAGTTTCACTCTGTCGCCCAGACTGGAGTGCAGTGGCACGCTCCCGGCCACCACAGCCTCAACCTTCTGGGCTCCGGCGATCCTTCCTCCTCAGCCTTCCAAGTAGCTGGAACTACAGGGACGTACTACCATGCCCAGCTAGTTTTTGATTTGTTGTAGAGATAAGTTGCCCAGGTGGGTCTCGAACCCGCGGGCTCAGGCAGTCCACTCACCTCAGCCTCCCAAAGCGTGGGATTACGGGCTGAGCCACCAAGCCCGGCTAAAAAGTAGCTTTTCATTGCAAACTTCATGTGTGTTCCTTGTCAACAGTTCACTCTAGATGGAAGTCCAGGTTCAGAAGGTCAAAGTCTTACATGGGCCACCCGCCTGCCCTCCCCCACCCCCAGCTAACAGTCTTTTCAAAATCCTCCTTTTTTCTTCTCTCAGAGACAAAGTGGCCTTTATCACAGGTGGTGGCTCTGGGATTGGGTTCCGGATTGCTGAGATTTTCATGCGGTGAGCACTGCTCTGTGGCTCCTCTCTGCCCCTTGCATTTCCTGGCCCCTGGGGTCCTTAGACCAGATGCTGGTGGGTGGTAGAACCAAGCCATGGACATCCCCCCACCCACCCAACAGTGTCCAGGTGCCTGTGAAAGAGTCTAGAGAGGGATCAAGTATTGCCCTGGAGGGAGGCAGGACTCTGGGGTCTCCAAAAGGTACTGGAGGGTGTGTAGCTCTGTCCTCAGGGCCTTCTGGGGCTCCACAGAGCTGGTCAAGGATCCCAGGGGCTGGGGGGTGGGGGAGGCCTCAGGCTGCCTGGCAGAGCACATTGCCTCTTGGGATGTAAGTTCTGTGGCCTCAGGGCTGGGTCAGCAACTTGTCATCACACCTGGAAGAGGCTAGAGCTAAGCTGGCGTGGGGGTGAGACCCTTTTCCAGTTCCCCCTAGATCCCTGTGTTTCCTACCAGAGAGCTAGGTCCCACAGGAGGAAACCTGGAGGCTCACCCACTGCAGGTGGACTTATCTTTTGTCTTTCAGCTGTTGGCTTTGTTCATATTTCTTCTCTGAGCTTGGCCGACCATGCTCAAGGCATTTTGAGAATTAGACAGGATAGCGTCGTTCCCATGGGATCTGCCCAGTAGGCAGTCGGTGCCTTGGTTGTTACCGGTGCTTTGGTTGTTACCGCGAGACTGAGTGTGGAAAGACTTTTTTTTTTTTTTAAGTTGGAGCCTCACTTCTGTCATCCAGGCTGGAGTGCAGTGGCACATTCATGGCTACCACAGCCTCAAACTGCTGGGCTTAGGCTATCTTTTCACCTCACCCTCCAAGAAGCTGGAACTACAGGCACGCACTACCACACCTGGCTTATTTTTTTATTTTTTGTAGAGACAAGGTTTCACCAGGTTGCCCAAGCTGTTCTCTAACCCCGGGGCTCAGGCAACCTACTCACCTCAGCCTCCCAAAGTGATGGGATTATAGGCTGAGCCACAGCACCTGGCTGGAAAGATCTTTTATGCAATCCCTCAAACAGAAGGAGCCAAAAGAACATGGCAGACCTGTCCGGCTTGTCAGTGTAGGGTGATTTTTCTGGGGAACTTGTGACAGAAGTGTGTTCTTGGGCAGCTGCAAGACAGATGGAACTTGGTGCCATTTCCCCCAGACCCAGGACTTCTGTACCATAGGGAAGGGGTGTGAGTGCTTCCTGGTAATGTGTAGGAATTTGCTTAAGGGTATGCTTATGATAACATCAAGGTTGTTTTGACCTAAGGGCAGGAGCTGGAAATGTTGAGTCCTTCCTAGAGCTGGGGTTAGTCAGAAGTCAGTAGTATAGATTAGCATCCAGGAAGGAGCTATAGCCTTACACTGAGGTTCCCAGGAAGTGTGTAGGGACAGAACCCCCTTGCAGAATGGGCTCTCTGTTCATCACTTCAACCCCATAAGGGAAAGAGGACTGGGCCAGAGGCCCCAGAAAGGCTTCTGGCAGATGTCTGGGCCTGGACCTGGGCCTGCAGGACTTAAGACTGGAATACTTCTTACCAGAGAGGCTCAGCCCCAAACCCCAGGGCAGGCAACAAGGGCACCTACCTGAGGTCCCTTCAGCATCGCTAGTCCTGCCCTGTGCCCTCTGCCAGTCATGCTTGCAGCCCTTGACTGGTGCTTGTACCTAAGAAACTCTTAGGCAGGCTCTCAAGTGCCCCTCACAGGTGCCGTCCTCATATCTGCGTCTGGTTTTGCAGGCATGGCTGCCGCACAGTCATCGCCAGCAGGAGCCTGCCACGAGTGTCAGCGGTGAGAGGGCCTCTCCTGTGTCCCTGTCCACGGGTGGTCATGGGGGCCCCTGAGCCCAGGGGAGGGTCCTGAGGCCTGGGTGATGGCACCAAAACTTGCTTCTCTGCCAAATATAGGGCTTCTGCGGAAGAGGCTTCCCAGGGATCCCCTTGGCTTTTGAAAATATCTGATTGTTAGGTCCTGTGAGGGGGCCCTCCTGTCGAGGGTAATGAGAGGGGGTCTCAGGGCTCACCCAGGTTATGAAGGCTGGGTGAGTCGCATACATGTAGTCCCAGCTACTAGAGAGGCTGAGGCAAAAGAATCGCCTGAGCCCAAGATGTTGAGGCTATGGTGAGCCATGATTGAGCCACTGCACTCCAGCCTGGGTGACAGTGAGATCCCAAATCCTACCCACCCAAGTCCTTGACTGGAGGAGAGCCTTACCTTTGCTGCCTCTGGACTCCAGAGGGATAGGCATCCTGGAAAGTTATGCAGAGGGAGGATTCTGGTACAGGTGGCTGGTGGGGGTAGAGAATGTGGCATATCTTACAAGCGTCTACCACCCAGGAAGTGGCCACTTGCAGGCTGTGGTTTTCCAGTGGGACCCAGCAAAGTCCGGATACATCCTTGGCAGGTTCTGAAACTGTGGCTGCTGGGCTACTGTCCACCTCTCTCGCTCTGTCTGGCTTCTAGGCTGCCAAGAAGCTGGCTGCTGCTACCGGCCAGCTGTGCCTCCCTCTATCCATGGATGTCCGAGTGCCCCCAGCCATCACAGACGCCGTCGACCAGGCACTGAGGGAATTTGGCAAAATTGACATTCTTGTTAACTGTGAGTTGTTGCTGAGTGAGGCTGCATGTCTGACTGGTGGGCACTTCTATTTGAGGCCTCAGAGCTCTGGTCCTGGGGTAAGACCTGCCCTGGGCTGCCTAGGTGCCAGCCCCTGGCTCATCTGCACCCAATCCAGGTTCCTGAGGCCAAGACCCTGGCTCTGGGCCTGTCCCAAGCCCGACTCCACTCCTTCCAGGTTGTGGGTCAGCACGGCCACAGCTCAAGTGGATGCCCTGGGAGCATGACTGAATCAGAGGCAGGTGTGCCCTTGTATCCTGAAATTTCCCCCCATTTGCTTTTTTGAGTTTGGGTCTCACTCTGTAACCCAGGCTGGAGTGCAGTGGCTCACATCATGACTCACCACAGCCTCAAGCTCCTGGGCTCAGGTGATCCTTCTCCTTTAGCCTCCCTTGTAGCTGGGACTACAGGAATACACCACTACACCGAACTAATTTTTTAATTTTTTTTTTTGAGTTGGTGTCTCACTGTCACCTAGGCTGGAGGGCAGTGGCATGCCTCTCGGCCACTGCAGCCTCAACCTGTTGGGCTCCAGTGATCCTTCCACCTCAGCCTTCTAAGTAGCTGGAACTACAGGTGCACGCTACCACACCCAGCTAAGTTTTGATTTATTGTAGAGACGCGGTCTCGCCAAGTTGCCTGGGCTGGTCTTGAACCCATAGGCTCAGACAATTTACTCACCTCAGCCTCCCAAAGTACTGGTATTACAGGCTGAGCCTCCAAAAATTTTTCTGTAGGGATGAGGCCTCACTATGTTGCCCAGGATGGTCTTCTTTTTTTTTTTTTTTTTT